GGTTTGTTTTAAATCACACAACTGTTAGTACTGTGCTTCACAAGACAAAATTTTTTGCAATATAACACAACTCGTGGAATGAATTAATTTCGTTTTGTGAGGCATCACTGTACTGCAGTCAGTACTCTGCTCATGATCTCAGTTGTTTCCAGGATTGGTAAATTGAATACTTTTAAGTGTTATGGGGTAGTATATAAGCTTTGCTCTTCCGTCCACATCCAGGGAGGTTAGCTACAGTGCTATGGACTATAAACCTCTTGATGATATTGTGCACAGTGGACACAGGATCATTAAGATCTCTGGAGATGGACTTGTAGCCTTGAGATTGTTGAGGTTTTTCCACAATTTTTTCTCTCAAATCCACAGACAACTCTTACATTCCATTCTTTACTCCATGCTCAGTGTCACACACAACACAAAGGTTGAGTCAACTTTTCTTCATCTTACCTGGTTGCAAGCGTGATTACTCTATGGCCCACATCTCTTATTTGCGACAGGTGTGTCTAAATACAAATTAAAGGAGCATCACATGCTTGAAAATCAGTTATTTCTTACAATTTAGACAGAGTGCCAATAATTTTGGCCAGTGCATTTTTGGGATTCTGTGTGGGATTGTATCAAATTTGACTTTTCTTCTGTTTTTTTAATGTTGTTCCAACGCAAACCAAAGAAATGAACATGTGAGTACCAAAACATTTGCAACTGCAACAAATTTCTGAGAGAAGGGTTGCATTTTCTGACAGAATTCAAGGGTGCCAATATTTTTGGCCATGACTGTATGTATATGTATATATAAAGAAAGTATGATTACTCCATCCTGGCTTTTATCCTTTTGTCCTATACAGGATTTATGTTATCTATTATGAATGAATGTATTACTTAATATAAGCCAATTAGGTGCGGTGTCACTAAACGATGACAAATCTGGGAGAAGGATTTCCTCTGTGTAATCTGTATTCTGTTTTTCATAGTCTACAATGGATACATCTACATCTTAAACTGGGGGAATGAGGAAGAAGGAGAGAAAAGCTGCTGTAGTAATGAATATAACTGAATAAAAGAGTAACAAGGAGCTTTTTAAAAGGCTTTGTAGCTGTGTAAGCCCTACTTTATATCCACACTTTTACAGGATTATGCTGTGAACTACATATTCTTTAATTGTGTGTTTGTGTGTGTGTCTTTAGTACTTTAACACACACACGCACACACAATTAAATATAATAAATCTAGTCCTATACTCCTTTTCTCTTGTTATTTAAAGGAAAAAGAATAACACCTGCATGTGATTAATTAATAATTATGTGTTGCCAACTTATGGCAACCCTCCTAGAGGGTTCTGAGTGTAAAATACTCCAATGTGGTTTACCAACTGGCTCCTTCGGGAGGCAGTCTGAGACTGAGCAGCTTACCTAAGGCCATACAGGGCATGTAACCATCAGTCATACATGCACCAGGCAACTTCAGCTGCCTCTTCTCCAGGGAGACACAATGGAGACCTGAATTCCCAGGCACATCAACAAACTGAACAGGTTCCAAAGTTTTGTTTCATGTTGCATTAGATTACTCAGTGGTTTAGGCATCTGGCTGCCAGACGTTGGGAGTTTGATTCCTCATTGTGCCACCTTGACAGAGGCTGGACTTGATGAGCTGGCTAGAGTGGCCTTTTAGGCCAGATGGCTGGGGGTATAAATCAAATAAATAAATGAATGAATGAATGAATGAATGATCAAAAGGGTCCCTTCCACCTCTGCAGTTCTATGATGATGATGATGCACCAGGTACAGTCAATCAAAATTATAAAAACATTGACAGGTATTATGTAACAGATACAAGTTTTAATGAAAAACCTAAGTTATCTGTTAAATATCAGCGCAGTGTGTATGCTGTTCCTAATATTGTGATTTTTGTAGCTCTGATGGTGTGATTTCTAAGATCCGCAACTGCTTCTAATAGTGTGTGAAATTTCTTGATATTGTTCCCAAAGCCCCAATGGTTACAGGGACCACTAAAGTGTGTTTGATGCACAAGCAAGATGTTTCAATTGCCAGGTCTCTGTATTTTGTTAATTTTCTAATTCTTTATTTTCAACTCTGGCATCTCTTAGAATTACATTGTTAATGATCCAGACCAAGGATCCTTCTAAGGTGTGTGGCTGTATGCGCCTCTGCTTCCTTCTGCTAAGCTTTCCTCCTCCTTCACGCAGCCCCTTTGGTTTTGCTCGCGACGGAACCCTGCATGCAAGGGGCTAAGTTGTGCACGCATGCAGAGGAAAAGTCGCGCATGAGAGAAGCACAGCCCCACCCAGCAGGGCTGAAAATGAGAAAGTATGTTGATCCAGACATTTATTTGTTCTATTACTACTGTGTCTGGTGTGTTATGTTCAAGGTGTCTATCAGTTTGGATCTGGATGCCCCACAGGATCTTGATGTCATCATTTTCTGACACCTTCTCTACCTGGTGTTCCCATGGGTTTTTGGAAGCTGCCAAGTTCTATTTTTTGCATAATGACCAGTGCACTAATTTTGGCAGTTTGTTATGTCTAATTTTGTAATCTGTTTGTGCAATGAACGTTTGGACATTGTGCAGTCTTGATGATGATGATGATGGTTGGTTATAGTTTTACTGATACTGTTCTTAATGGTTCACTGTTTATTGTTGTACAACAGCTAACTACAGTGATTTGATTGGATTCCATTTTAACTATCTTTTTTGTTTGTTACTGTTTTTTGTTTATCACTGATTACTTTGCCTTTCTTTTTAATGTTTATTTTCTTCCATGATATTTTGCTTGCTGCTTTGAGAAATATATTGACTATATATTTCCTAAGTATACAAAGAAATAGTAAATAGTTAAATCAACAGGACTGGAATCGACAGGAGGTCTTTGAGAAACAAGAGGGAGGTACCCATATATTTGGGTGATTTCATGGTATGCAAAGATGGAAATTTTTGAAAAGCCTATTCTCTCCCATTCCAAACCCAACCTGATGAAGCTTTTCTTTTCCTGGATCCATGGGTTATTGGGAGTTGGAAAAGAAAGCTAGAAAATCAGGGAAGTGTTGATTTTATTTATTTAAAATATTTGATCCCACTCTGTCATCAGATCTTAGAAAAAGCAAAAAAGCACTTTGAAGGCATGTAAAAGAATGAACACATTTTAAAACAATTTAAAAGCTGTAAACTTGTAACAAGACTCCAATGCCCAGGATGGATAACAATCTTTTTTAAAAAAATGATTTAAATAACAATTTAAATTAAAAAAAACAATAACAAAAATCTGATTTTTAAAATTTAAATTATCATTTAAATTGTGATTTAAATTAATTTGATTTAAATCAAATCTACCAAGCTACAGTCTTCTCTGGCTAGAGTCTCTAAATCCCAAAGACTCTGGAAACAGATTTTTCAACAGGGCAGCCACTGAGACCTCCAATGCGGGGCAGTTGTGCTACCAGAATTGACCTTGTGGAGTCTATTATAGGTGAAGGAAGATGTGGTTGACTAGCAAATTGAGCAGGACTGCTCCTTTTAGTAGGAGAAGAATACATTGCAACATTTCATTACCGCTCCCATTTAAATGACCAAGTAGTAGCCATATTCCTATGCAAGATATGATTACACTCACTTCCATCCTCTGCCAGCAGTGATTCTACTGAAATTCTGGCTTGCATTATTTACTCTAGGTCTACTTGTGTATTTTGTGTAGAAGGAGCAAGGGGTGTAAGCTTCAGCCAAGTTCTTATTTCTCATGCCCTATGTTGATGAGGACGCTGTACAACAGAGATGTGCCATAGTTCATGTGAAGAAGATAACAATCTATTTTGTCATCATGATCCCTGATAAGATAGCGTTCCCTGTTGTGATCCACATTTGCTTGGATGTCGGTACATTTCTACTACACACCATCTCTGTTGACATGGAAAATCAGGAGTTGGTAGTTGGGATTGAAATGTGTATGCTCATTCCCACTATCTGATTTCTAAATAGCATCCTGGAAGATGGCTTCCATCTCATACAGTTGCAAACTAAATGTGCAACTATACAGTGAAGGCAGTGTGGATTCACTTACCTGACTCGCTGTGAAGTAGCACCTGGAATTCAGGTCTGTTTGATTTAAGTGGCCACACAGGCAGAGGGGAGAAAAGCCTTGTTTGCTGCTTGTTTGCAACTCTGTTGAAGGCCTGTTGGAGGTGTATTTAAAAAGAACTGTCTAACAGCTAGAACAAGGGTTTCTACTCATCTCATTTGAGAGTGAGCGAGAGAAGTGTGTGTGTGTCAATCTCAAACCTGTAACATTTCCTCCATTCCCCCCCCCCATTCAATCATAAATTAACAGTTATTGAAACTTCAGGTGCAAAGGTGCAAAAGTCAGTTTCATCCCCCTGAGCAGTCCACACCCATGCCTCTGAAATTTAAAGAGGACCTCCTCCCACAGTTCTACTCTCATCAGTTTGCTGCTGAATTCCAATGACAATCCCATTTTAAGCATGCATGCAAGCAGGTATTTGCTATAAATGGGGATTCTCCCATGTTTTCCATTGCAGTGCTACAATTTGCTGCCAGGTTTGTGGGACCCTGATTTGTGCATGTGCCACTTGATTCTCACATTGCCCAATTTTTGAAGGACCTTCCATGCCCTGGTTCTGTTTCTTTGTGCAGTGCTGCAGTGTGGGGTGAATACTGAGGACAGTGTTTCTAAAAATGACCCCATTATGGCTCTTGTATTTGGACAAGACTTGCTGGAAAACACAATAATAATTGGAAAAGTTGAAGGCAGTAGGTAAAGAAGACAAAACGTGAGACGGATCGACGCAATAAAGGAAGCCATAGCCCTTATTCTGCAAGAGTTGAACAGTGTTATTAATGATATGACCTTCTTAAACTCACTAATCCATTGGGTCACCATAATTAGAAGATCACTTCAGTGAACATCATACACATATGACTAGCATTTTTGCCAAGATCCTATGATCCAAACTTATCACGCTTCTTTTCCCTAGCTATCCATTGTAATCTAAATCCAAATGGTATCGAACTCTCTGTCCGCACGGAAGGAATTAACCTACAACTTGAAGGGGACAGACTGGACTCATCCTCACTCAAGAAGGAAAACTCTAAGTTGCCGGAGTCAAAAGGAACACCCAAGAAGCAGCAGGCGGAACCAGAAGCATCTAAGGTGAGGCACAATAAGGTGGTCCTTTGCCCCTTAGGTGGACGGGTGAGCGCTAATGTTCATTTGTACACTGGGGGTGATCCATTCAACGCCTAGTATCCCCAATGTAAAATATTGTATAGGACATGATGTATTGAACTGCCAAGTGAGTAAGAAATCATCACTGAGTCAAAATTTGGGAAAAGGACCCTTCTGGACAAAAGCATCCAGAATCTGTGGAAGTCATAGATTTAAAAAAAAGTACCTTTCCCAAGCTTTGGGCAGAATATATGCCGTGCATGTAAGAGATTTCTGGTGCAGTCCCTGTAATATTGAACTAAAAGGTACAATTACCTCTCCCTAAAATTCTGGAGAGTCCTTAGGAGTTCAAACAGCTAATTCTGGGCTAGACGTACTAAGAGTTTGACCTGATATGCTTTGTTTTTGACACAATCCCAAACTTTTGATAGCAAAGTTTCTTTTCTGTCCTTTGCAGGAGTTTGGTCTTGAGCATCCAAAGAATTTATGTCCATGGAAAACAGCATACACTGTGGAGTGTTCTCCTTCTCATGGGAATGACTGTCTGTGATTTGGAAAGTCATTAGTCCTACTAATTACAAAATATATCTGGTTTTGGCCAGTTAATAAAAGAGAAATCAATAAGCTAATTCATTTTTTTCCCTTTTGCATCTGGGTTGTTTTTCTAGACTGGTTGTCTTTTTGTATGATTTGCTACTAAAGGAAATAGATTGTGCTTCTGGTTTCCCATTTTACAAATTCGCTTTCTTTCAGATGAAATGGAAGATAATGTGTTTTTCCTTTCTTTCAAAGAATGTAAGAGTTTTTGTGACATACAGTGGTGCCTCGCATAGCGACGATAATCGGTGCAGCAAAAATCGCTGCAAAACGATTTTGTCACTATGCGATATTAAAAAGCCCGTAGGAATGCATTGAAACCCCTTCAATGCGTTCCTATGGGCTTCAGACTCACGCTTAAACGAAAATCCTCCATACGGCAGCCATTTTCGCTGCCCGGTAAGCGAAGAATCCGTCCCAGAAAACAGTGGGCGGCCTTTTTTTTTACCCGGCGGCCATTTTGGAACCGCCAATCAGCTGTTAAAAAATCATTGCTTTGCGATGATTGGTAAGCGAAACAGGGTACCGATCATCGCAAAGCAATTTTTCCCCATTTAAAACATTGCAATACAAAAAGTTCGTCGGTATGCGATTTCATTGTTAAACGGGCAAAACCAAATGAGGCAGCCTTCCCTCCCCCGAGAGTCATAAGTTCAAGGCCGGGGAGTGTGGGAGTTGAAGTCCCTGAATACACACAGTCTGGGCGCTCACCTTCCCATCGATGCACTCGGGCGCTGCTTGCTCCTGCCTGGCTTGGTAGGCAGCGTTCTGCTGGTGCTGCCTTTCTGGGCTCCACGTGGGCTGGGCGGGCATGGCAGCTGCGGCAGCGGCGGGCGGGGGCAAGGGTTGCGCTCCGGCACCGGTGGCAGGTGGGGGCAGGAAAAGACATGGGGAGAGGAGGTCCTTCCACCTCTCCCCCTCCCATCCAAAATTATAAAATAATCAAAAGCCTGACATTTTAAAAAAGTTTATCTTTGCCTGCCGGATGGAGGACATTAGGCTAAAAAGGAGGACATGTCCTCCTTTTGCATGATGTCTGGCAACCCTACCCACAGCCCTCATATTGCCTAGAGGTCCATTTGCCCCGTTTTCTCCCCCTGGTTTATTTTAGGCTTTTTTCAAAACTGGGAAGAACATCTAGTTTTGAATCAAGGCCCCCTCAGGCCTTGTACAATTGAAGAAACAAGGCACAACTGCCCTCATATAATTTCCACTTCTCTATGACTTGAGTTTGAGATTGGATTAAGAGATACTAAGTGTAAAGTAGGAGACCTCGTGGTTTCTATCCCAACAGAATTGTGGAATTAATCTTGAGAGTGACACCCTAGGAAGGGCTTTTACCTACAGCCTCTGTTGCTCCTTCTGTACCTCTTCGAGATATATTGGAACAATCTGGAGCAGATTTTTGGCTGCCATTAAGGGCTGCAGGTAGAAGAAAGAAGAATAAAACCCTGTTGTGCCAGCAGATGTTTGCTGTGGATTTATGCCAATGCTTTGTGCAATGTCTATTTGTAAATAACACTTCAACAATGGCCTCAATTAAAATAACTCTTCCCAACTCTTTCATTGAAAAACAAGACAAAGAAGGCTGGTTCAGATGTCTGGAGGGGCAAGATTACTTATACAGTAAATTTAACTATATTATGCAAACAGTGTGCGTCATATAGTACGTATTTGCCTGTCTTATGAGGTAAATGTTGTGTCTTGGATTTGACCGTTACCTCTTGGAATATCTAGTCACAAAGGCCTTCTGTAAGATTCAAGGGTCTTCGCCATATGTTTTGCCAGTTTAATGTTTGTTCTGGTTATGGAAATATATTTAAAGTTTTGGATACATGTTCCCCATTTTGAGAGAATAATACGCAGATTCGCACCCCACCCCAATTTTTTAGTAGTCGGGTTGCATTCCACGTATGTGTGCCATGTGTCAAGTTTCAAACTCATGAGGAAGAACCCTAATAATTTCTAGGACTCATTCCAAGAGAGGGAATGAGTCCTACAAATCTTAATACAGTGGTGCCCCGCATAGCGACGATAATCCATGCAGCCAAAATCGTTGCTATACGGATTCGTCGCTATGCAAAATAAAAAAGCCCATAGGAATGCATTAAAACCCATTTAATGCATTCCTATGGGCAAAAAAATTACCTTTATGCGAAAATCCTTCATACGGCCGCCATTTTCGCTGCCCGGTAAGCGAGAAATGGGCACGAAAACACAGCGGGCAGCCAATTTTTTACCTGGCGGCCATTTTGGAACCACCGATCAGCTGTTGGGAAAACATCATTATGCGAAAGATCATTCCAAAGCGATATTTTCCCATTAGAAACATCATTATGCGATCGCAAAAACGATCGCAAAAAATCATCGCTATGCGGATTCATCGTTAAACGAGGTGCCCATTAAGCGAGGCACCACTGTATGAAGAATTATTCTTTTTATAGTTGCAGAGGGCTACAATACTGATTTTTTTTTTTTACCAAACTCTGGGAGGCAGTTGAAGACAAGCAGGGTCTGGCGTGCTCTGGTCCATGGGGTGACGAAGTGTCGGACACGACGTAACGACTAAACAACAACAATAATACTGATTTGACTTTTTAATTATTATATTGTATGCAGAAGTTGGTTTCATCTTCTTAGGGACAAATATATTTTGTCCTCGCTGTAGAAGGAATCTTAGCATAATTGGATTTCTTTCATATTGACCATTAGAGCTAGAATTACACTTCCCTCTCTAAAAAATAATTGCATTATTATTATTATTTCTTAACCAGAGGAAACTAGCAGATCTCAAGGGTGGGGGGACGTAGGAAATTTTTTAAAAAAATAATTCTCAGATGAAGTGATCTGAGATCCTCTTTGTCGACAAGCTGCTTTTAGAAGCTGACATACTGTACTTTCTAGGAGAAGAAAGAAAGCTGTCTGTAATGTAGCTCATTAATGTTTTGGGTCCTTTTTAATGTTTCGTTCCATATATAATTAGCTACAAAAAATGACATCAAACAACATTAAGGGAGTGACTAAAGGAGCAAAGACAGAGGATGGGAACTGTAAGTAAACTATGTGGGGGCCAAATGAACCACTGGGACAACTGCTAATGCCCATGGACTGGTTTAGATCATCTGTCTTTCTTCTGTGCCAAATAGTGTAGGATAGTTAAGTGCAGGATAAAGTTAAATTAAGATATGGCAGTGAAATAAATACACACAGAGCTAGGCATGAAGCTCCTGTATTTCTTGGACTTCAGCCCCCAGGATTCTGGCAGTGGGAATTCCTGGTGAAGTCCAAGAAATCTGAAAGTCGAAAGCCTGCACAATGCTGCCTTGCATTAAGTCAGATCATTGGTTTGTCCAACATAGTGCTGTTAATTCCGACTAGCAGCTGCCGCCGCCTAACTTTTAGGGAGGATTTTTGAAGCCCTATTGTAAGATTCCTGATGTTCTGTGGTGATCTCCCATCCACATTCTGACCAGCCTGACCATGCTTAGCTTCTGTCATAAATACTACCATTACCATCATCATTATCAACAACAATTTGCACTTATCTCTTATCTTTTCCCTAGTGAGCTCGGAGGAACATACATGGCTCCCTTCTCCCTACTTTATCCTCACAACAACCTTATGAGGTAGATCATGCCGAGAGACTGTGTCTGACCCAAGACCACACAGTACAGTTGTACCTCGACTTACGAACTTAATCTGTATTTGAATGGCGTTCGTATATCAAAAAGTTCGTAAGCCAAGGCAAACTTTTCCATAGGAATGCATTGAAAATCAATTAATCAGTACCTGCTGTTTTCCGTTCATATGTTGAGGCGCTGTTTGTAGGTATAGACATTAGGAACTAATGCAAAGCAGGTTAATCCGTACTCTACCACTAGGGAATTTTTTTAAAAAATTTCTTCTTTTGACCTAAGATGAACTTAGATCAAAAAAGGGCAGGAAAAGTTTTGTTTTTGTTTGGTTTTTTGGTTCATAAATCAAGGCTCCATTCGCAAGTCGAAGCAACTTTTTTGTGAATGGAGCCGTTCGTAACCCAAATCGTTTGCAAGTAGGGACATTTGTAAGTCAAGGTACCACTGTCATGGCTGATTATTCCCAAATATCAGATGTGTTGAGAGTGGTATGGTAATGTTGACTTGATGACCTGGAGAAGACAGGAGGGCCTGGCGTGCTCTGGTCCATGGGGTCACGAAGAGTCGGACACGACTAAACGACTAAACACAGAGGTTCTAACTTCTCAGTGGATAAGGTGATCTGCTTTTCTCCCTTTTGTTAAAAGTGGGGGTTTCAACTGAAAGTGACAAGTATTGTTTTAATCTTATAATGTTTTCTTCTGAAATTAATTTGTATGAGAAGAAGTCTGAGGAGGGCTGTGATAGTACTTGTGTGCTGTCTGAAGGGCTGTTAGATAGACAAAAGCAAGCACTAATCAGTTTACTGTACAGAAAGGTAGTAAGCTTTCTGTTTGGTTGAATGTTTAGAGACGTCTCCTGACTGCAATGAGCTACTCTTGGTGGAAAGAGCAGGGCAGCCAGTTTACTGAGTGGCTGATTGAAATATGCTCTTAATGATAGTCCCAGACCTTAGCTTTTCCTGGCTCTGGGTTCTTCCTCACAGGAAGTCTTCAGCAAAAAGCTAGGCAACTGTGTCTGGGGATGGTACAACTTTGTATTTCCTGAACTGACCATAAAAAAGGTAAAGGTTCCCCTTGACATTTAGTCCAGCCATGTCTGACTCTAGGGCGCGGTGCTCATCCCCGTCTCTAAGCCGTAGAGCCAGTGTTTGTCCGTAGACAGTTTCCGTGGTCACGTGGCCAGCGCGACTTTTTCGGGCTCTTTGGCCGTGTTCTGAAGGTTGTTCTTCCTAACGTTTCGCCAGTCTCTGTGGCCAGCATCTTCAGAGGACAGCACTCTGTGCTCTGGTGTAGCACTCCCAAGCCAACTACACCAGAGCACAGAGTGCTGTCCTCTGAAGATGCCGGCCACAGAGACTGGCAAAACATTAGGAAGAA